AGATCCAGATTATTAGGTTAACGAGAAGTAATGAGGTGATGTCCAGCTGATTGGACGTGGCTGCTGCAGCATGTTAACCTCGTTTACGTGTCTAGCTGTGTCCCTCTGTCTCCTCGGCCCCTGCCGCTGTTTCAGGTCAGTCTCGGATAACTGAACTTCTTGTTCATTTTATTTAGGATGACTCATGTACAGAGGATGTAACCTCATTTTAGTGATGTGTCGGGAACCTTGTAGAACCGTGTTAATATCACAGTATTTCTCCTATACAGCCAACACCGTGCTGATTAGCTAAAACAGCTTAGCCTAATACCTTATGCTTTACTTTTTTGCTAAAGAGTCACACAAAAAAAGTCCCATTTAGGCCAGTTTATAATATTTACTTCATTACATTTTTTTATTTCTATAAATAATAGCACTGTTTCAAATGCTCATTCTTTCAAGTGACTTCTGCTAAGAATGCCTTATACAAGGAAAAGCTGAAAAAAAATTCTGCACAAGATCCTTGCAAGCTCCACAACATCTTTTCTTCACTACTCAGCCTGGATTTCATGGCACAGCATGACAATGGTTTGCTTCCTACCTGGAAGGTCAATCATACCGGGTGATGTGGAGGGGATCCACGTCTAATCCATGCAGACTCTCCACTGGTGTCCCACAAGGCTCAGTACTTGGTCCTCTTCTGTTCTCCCTCTGTACTCAATCTCTGCGTGAGGTCATATCCTCACATGGGTTTTCATGCCACTGCTATGCGGATTGACACTCAACTCATCCTCTCCTTACCTCCCTCAGACACTCATGTTTCCACTCAGATCTCAGCATGTCTGGCAGACATCCCTCTTACTCTCTTGCTCTCCAATGCAGGGCAAGCATGGATGGCAGCTCGTCAGCTGAAACTTAATAACTAGCACAACTGAACTGCTGCTCATCTCAGGTGATTCATCCCCACGTCAGTATCTTGGACAACTCTCAGATCTTACCTTCGGTCACTGCACTTAACCTCGGGGTAACCATGGACAATGAACTGTCCTTTTCCTGTCACGTTGTTAATCTGACACGCTCATGTAGACTTCTCCTTTGTAACATCAGAAGGATTTGTCCATTTCTATCCACACAGGCCACTCAGGTACTTGTTCGGTCCCTTGTCATTTCGAGACTGGACTACCGCGACTCGCTCCTGGCAGCTCTGCCTCTGAGCGCCATTCGTCCTCTGCAACTGATCCAGAACGCAGCTGCACGACTGATTTCCAACCTTCTGAAGTTCTCCCCCACCACCCCATTGCTGCACTCCATCCACTGGCTTCCTGTAGCTGCCTGCATCAGGTTTAAAACACTGATGCTCAACTATAAAGCCAAAAACGGACCAGCACCCACTTACCTCAAAGCATTATCACATCCCGCACTACACCACACTCTCTCCACTCCTCTAGCACCGCTCGAGTGGTCTCTCCATCTCTCAGGGTACGAGGAAGACCTGCATCAAGACTCTTCTCTGTTCTGGTGCCTCGGTGGTGGAACGAACTTCCCCTAGACGTCCGAACGGCTGAGTCACTGGCAGTCTTCAGATGATGTCTAAAGACCTACCTCTTCCTGAAGTACTTCAACTAGCACTTTAATTTAAAAAAAAATGTGTTGTCTGTATGCTTTAGTTACTATATTACCTTCCCATGAGGGTTTTTAGACTGATGGTATTCTTAGTCCGTGACCTAGTGAAGTCTTTATCGATAGAGACTTCAAAGCGTTCTGGAAGTCGCTCTGGAAAAGGGAGTCTGCCAGACGTCATAATTGTTATGTTTCTTATGTTTGCAGCAAAACGATCATTTTAATCATCAATTTAAATCCTGGGCTTACTTTCCACCAAAAATCAGCGTCCTCATCACGTCACTGCAGAAAGCAGGGACATGAAACAGTGCTGTCACGTTTGCACGCCTGATTACGTCTTTGTTTATTACGTCTCTCTCTTTCTGAAGTTCTGGCAGCATTCATTTCATCGCCGTTTATCTTTTCGACACACAAAAGGCCAAAAACAATCATTACTCTCGCTTTGCTTTCTTGTGAAGAATAAAATCCATAATTAGTGGAATGTGCGTGTGTGTGTGTGTGTGTGTGTGTGTGTGTGTGTGTGTGTGTGTGTGTGTGTGTGCGCGCTGAGGAGAATATGTGATTTCATGAGGAAGTGACTAGAATAACGATACGGGGATTAGGAAAACTTTTATTCTTTCCTGTGCAGTCATTTCTGGGGAAAAAAAAAAGAAAAAAGCTCAATGGCAACTTCACAAAAGTAATGGCACCCTTTCCGAGAGTGCTGCAGCTTCATGATATACAGCACTCGGCTGCTGCTTCTCTTTTTGTGAATGTAATTAAACACTGGGAAGAGGTGCGAGACAGCACTGGAAGGGACGAGCATATGATCCACAGTTTTTTTTTTTGAGGAATAATAATTAACAGCGCTCTCTTTAAATAGCTTGCAGCTATTCTTTTTTCTTTGTACCTTGAGGGTTTGAATATTCATGAGCAGGAGTCTGAGTGTGTGTGTGTCTGTGTGTGTGTGTGTGTGTGTGTGTGTGTGTGTGTGTGTGTGTGTGTGTGTGTGTGTGTGTGTGTGTGTGTGTGGAGTTGGGCTTATTAGGATTCAGACCACACGTTCATATCCAGATCTTAATGTAAACGTTTTACACGAGTGTAAAAATGAACTGTGTGCTTTTTTTTCAATCTTTTCTCTCCAGGTATCCAATGCAGTACAAGCTAACTGCTGTACTGAATTATTTTATTTGCTTTCCTTTATTCCTTTTCTCATTTTTCTTCTTCATTCCTTTTTTTTTTTACATTTAGTTGTGTGTTTATACATGAACACAAATACGTGTATTCATGAAAAAATACATCGTCTGCAAATTTACCTCTTTCTTATCCTCATTTGTTTCCCATACCCAAGCCTTACTTAATGCCCACTTTACTGAAACTATATCCTAAAAATAATGAAGGATTTAAAAGTACTGCGCGATGGTGTGGTGTGATGAAGCAGACTTACCTTTAGCACCCCGTTGAAACAATTTCCTGTTCTCACTTATGTTATAGCAGCTGCAAACAGTCGTTCCCTCACCAGACTCTCTTTTTTCACTCTCATAAATTTAATAGTACAAAAAAAACGCAGCTTTTCATGTTACCGAGAAACCACAAAAAAAGCCGTCCTGAAGACTTCGGAAAACTTCAAGTTACGGCTTTACCCTTTTAGTGCTGACACTGGAGACTCCTTCCAGACATGTTAAATGAAATCTCCTTACTTCAAGAAAACTTCACCGTATCAACTATTGCTTAAGATAAGCTAATTGGACGATAGTTGAACTTTATCACCATCCACTATTCATATCCATATGCACTTCCACTTCTTTCTTTCTTTCTTTCTTTCTTTCTTTCATATTCACACTATACAACACTGTATATCCCTGTTCATTTTATTCCTGTTTACACTGTTTACACTGTTGACAATGTTTGCACTGCACTGCCCTTTTATTCCACTCAAGGCTCCCACTTCCGTATATCTACAGTGTGTCATGGCAGAACTACAATACCCATCAGCCCCAGCACATCACATGTCACTAAACACTCACACCTGTTTCCTGTTTCACCTTAATTAGCACCACTCTTTAAGTTCCAGCTTCTCAGCATCTCACTGTCAAGCTTTTTGTTACGCTGTTTGTGTGTTCTCTCTCTCTCTCTCTCTCTCTCTCTCTCTCTCTCTCTCTCTCTCTCTCTCTCTCTCTCTCTCTCTCTCTCTCTGTGTGTGTGTGTGTGTGTGTGTGTGTGTGTGTGTGTGTGTGTGTGTGTGTGTGTGTGTGTGTGTGTGTGTGTGTGTGTGTGTGTGTGTGTGCGCGCGCGCTACAGTCTTGTGTGTAGTCTGGCTGTTTTTGTCTTGTATCCACAGTGCAGGTTTATGGTTCTTGTTTTTTTTGTTTTTTTTTTTCCAGTTTTTTGGTTGTTGGTTTATATTTCACGTAATAAATAATCTGCACTTGCATCCACCTCCTCTACAGTTCCTGACGCAATGTTTACACACCCTCTGCACTACCACATTGCACTCTTACATTGTTCTTTATATATATTTATTCTTATTTTATGTTAATGTTAAACAAATTTTAGTATACTTCTAACTCTCTGTGCTGCTGTAATAGATGAATTTCCCTCAGGGATGAATAAAATGATCTATCTATCTATCTATCTATCTATCTATCTGTCTGTCAATTACAATTTTTTTTTCAAATTCATTTATGTAGAGCCTTACTTGATTTACTTTATCATGTCTTGCGATTATTTAAACAGTTCCATGCAAATCGTTACCTCCATTTTTAAGTAGATTTGATGGATTATATTTCTCATTGCTGCAGGATATTAAAATCATGAAATCACAGCATTTCAGCAGCCGATAAAAGACTGACCCGCCATCATGTAGCCTTTTTATTCATATAGCAATATTCAGATTAATGCTAATATCTCTGTGCTACAGTTTCATTATTAGCAGCACACAATCACAGTTAATGTATACAACCTGATGAATAATTTAATATAAACTGCAGTGATGAAATCTAATTTCAGTGTTTGTAATGCTGGCCCTTCAGCAACTTCGTCAGAACGGAATGCCTTTTAAATTATTCATGCTGAAATGTGAGAAAACGTGTTAGTGAGAATGCTCGGTAGATATTCTCCTCAAAAAAAAAAATAAACAAAATAAAGTCTTACTCATAGAATATCCTATAATCAGACTGAAAAGCGCTTCAGCACTAAAAGCAGTAGGTTTGGTGTGACGCATATGTCCTAAGCGTTTGCTCTTACTGCGAAGTTGAAGTGAGTCATGCAATTTAATCTTAAACTGAAATATTAAACAGTGTGTTTAAACCAAAACAGCCTCTGTTCTGAAGAATGATGCCATGCACCTGAGATCTTGAGAACACACATTGTAAAATGTCTTACACCACAGCGCTGTTGGACCAGTGATCCGCTGTGGAGGATCCCTGGTGGACTAGCGGCGGAAGATCCCGCGCTCTCACCGCAGCCCGGGTTCGATTCCCAGGCAGGGAACCAACCAGCCACTGGGAGTGTACTCTCAGTACCGGTCCCAAGCCCGGATAAAACGGGAGGGTTGCGTCAGGAAGGGCATCGGGCATAAAACCTGGGTTTATAAGACCAGCGATCTTCTGTAGCGACCCCTAATGGGTCACTGGATTGTTGGATTGTGATTGGTCAGAAGGTGTTGATTAGTTTTCTATAACAGCAGCTCTGACAGCAGCACAGGTTTATATTAATGCGCTCATTCTAATATTATTGTTGCTATAGTAACAGCTCGTTCACAGGGACCTGCGCGTTGAATGTTGCACGACGGATTGAATGAATTAAAAAATGTGTGGAATCACTGATGTGGTGAAATCTTCTTCTTCCAAGGAGACGTTTATTTATAGGAAAGTAATCTACGTCAGGGTGTTTCCAGGAAGTCCGCTTCATCACTCCTTACAATGCGGACAACCCACGCACTGTTTTATTCCTCGTTATTGAATACACTGTCGAGAGCTGTTTTTTTTTTTTTTTTTTTTGGAAGGAATAAAACAGAGTACTAATACTACATTTACAAAGACGTCTGTCACTCATGGTTCTCAACGACAGAATACCTGAAACCTCGAGGGTTATCTGTAAGGGCAAGTCTAGAAGAATAACGTGACGCAGCGAGGCAGGATGGAAGGATGGATGGATGCTTAAAGCGGAGAAAAGCGGTGAAGCATAATCTGAGACAAATTAGGGTTCTTTAGCTTGTCCTTCTGGGAGAACCCTACAGCAGATGGTTAATAAAGAGTAACCATCCACGAACCATCCACCCGTGAGGAACCACCATTTAAATAATCGTTAAATCTGTACTTTATGCAGTAAATCTGTCCATTTTGCAGTTTGGGGAATTCGGGGCTTCGGGGCGGCACCGCAGGGGGTTCGTGAGTTTGTGATGGAAATGTTAATGTCAACTTAAGTTATATTCTCTTAAAATATATTTTAAGTAAATTTAAAACTAAGCGAAAAACTTAATTCATTGCAACACTATAAACCAAGATATTCTAATATTTTTATTGTAACCTCATAAGTAAATTGTTAGAAGTTGACTGAATTGCTCATGTGATGATAATTCTTAACCTGTAAAGAGCTATTAGCTAGCTAATTCATTCATTGTAGCTAAAAATGCCTTCATCTTTTCAACTCCTTAAGATCTCTTAAAATGGACACTTATATTGTCAGTAAACAGAGAACGAAAAGAGGAGGAACATCCAAGCACAAAGCTGACAACAAACACCCCAAAGGAAGCGTTCTGTAAGTGCAGCAAGGAGAATTTTAAACCTAAATTTAGGCCCCAGGGACAGTAACAAGGCCAAACCCCGAGTGTGTGATACGTTTGGAGGAACTTTCTAACTCAAGGCTGCTTTGTTAAAAAGACAGAAAAAACTGAAATGTGACTACAAAACCAAGTCGAATGTTTCAGGGTAAGATTGTGTAGCTTAAAACGGCAAAAATCAGATGAGTTCAATGAGCGAAAAACAAAAGTTTCACCTTATGGTAGCCTGCTTGAAATCTCAGGGGGTACTTACTTTAGGCAAATACAGTAATTAATAATTAAATGTTCACTTAATTAATAACTAAGTGTTTCCCTATCAGAAAGGGAACCCTTTTGGAAGCTAAGAGCCCTTAATTATCCAGTGTAACCTTCAAAACCAACCTGAAGAACCAAACTCCGGACAGGTTCTAGATATTCAGAAGACATTCGTGAGCAATAATTTGGAGTTTGTACCACTCACCTACCCATTTAATTCACACACTCTTCAAAGAAAAGCTCTCGAGGGGTTCTTTGGGGGTTCATTAGGAGCTCTCAGCGTCCACAAACGCCTCTTCGTCTTGGCTTTCTACAACACACAACCTTTAAGGCTTCCTGTAGAAGAGCACTTTTAAAGAAGTGTGGCAACTGTAAACACATTGCCATGTCTTACAATAGACACTGAAATGCCTACTCCTTGAGCCTGATCTCCACTCTTTCACCTGGTCAGATCACACACACACACACACACACACATCAGACAAACAGCTGAACAAACACACAAAGGCGAGTCACGTGCTCAGGATGTCTCCTCGCCCTGAGGAAACAATTCTGCTCGTCCGAGCTCAAACTGCTTTCAGTCTGTCTGATCGCCGTGTGTACACTCGACTTTCTGATCTCACGCTGGGCCTGTAACGCCTCACGGCTCGGAGAGAGCTCCACACACACTTCACACACACACACACACACACACACACACACACACACACACACACACACACACACTTACACTCTGATTCTCTGGAAAGGGAGAAGTGGTGACAGAAGCGACACTTGCTCATACATCTATCACGTCTGTTGGTACACTACTGTAACAGGCTGCGTGGTGAAATCAGCAGGAGCGAATCTGTGGCGGGTAAAAATCATCTAAAATGAGCTCTACACTCTGTAGGAGACGATGTCTGTTAGCGGTAACGTAACACTCGTAACGTAATGCGCTCAGCCTGCACCTGCTGTGATGATAGATAATAGTTTTCTGTACACTCTTCGTTTACACTGAGCTTTCGTATTTAAATCTCGATGCCTTTCTGAGTAAGCGCCCCTCAGCCAGGCGTCTTAATGCAGCCTACGCCACACTGCTGCTGAATTCTGGATTCTGATTGGCTAGAAGGTGTTGATGAATCTTCTATAACAGTAGCGGAGGTTTCGATTTATTAGGAGGAGTTAATGCTGGTTGCGGTTTCTCCGTAACATGACAAGCTGCTTTTTTTTTTTTAATCGTATTAACTTCAAGAGGCTGGCGAGGGAACGACTGTTTATAGCTGCTATAGCGCAAGTGAGAACAGGAAATAACTCGTTTTGCTGAATGTCTACAGCATTAACTGTACCTATAAACTGATAAAAAGTACAATGTGCCACAACGTGAATAGAACGCATTATTGTTGGCAAATTGATCGATCGACTTTTTTTAATGGATCTTGTTTTGGATTCTTGTTCAAACCCAAATAACATTTTAAATACTGATTTATCTTTGAATAATACACTAGACCTTGAGAAGCAAACTACAACATCTGTCACGTTCACAGTCACCATCTTAATCACACAGCTGGATGGAGTAGTAGACACACAACCCCCTTTGAGAAGAACACACTCCGTCTTCTGGTTTTCATCCTGTTTCTGTTTTTTTGATTCTTGCCTTGCCTAGTCTGTACTATTTGCCCATCACCTGACCTTCCCCTGTTTCCTGTTCCTGATTTTGCCTAGGATTTGGATTTGTGTGCGTGTTTTTCTAATAAACCTTTTGTGTACCTGCACTTGTGTGTACCCCGTGTGTGTACACCGTACCCCCTGACAGTGGTGAAAAGGTAAACTTCTCTCTACTGTTTCGTTTACTTAATAAATAAACGAACGAGGCCCTGAACGGAACCTTTGCAATAAAAATAATAAAAAAAACATATTTACATACAAAAAAAATAAATAAATAAAATTCAGAATCTCGTGCGAATTTGCTTGTGAAAATGAAAATTTGTTGTTTTCAAAAGCTTTTTTTTTTTTCTGAAAGAAAAGGAAATGGTGTAATTTTTTTTTTAAAAAGTAATGATCACATACACAGAACTTACGTTCTCATTTTCTTCGACAAATATTCACATGCACACGATCATCTTCTGCTTTTGCAACGTTTTTTTTTTTTTTTTTGCAAAAGTCTCTTCGGGGGCTCGGTAACAAACACTGGTATCAAGCAGTTACGTTTAATTAAAAGTAAATTAAAAGTCATTTCAATTAATTACATAAAAAATAAAAAAGTCATTAATTTCGAGAAAATTAACTTCACCACATGACCCGGGCTCCTCTCAGAATTTCTGTGCCAATGCTGTTCATGTCATCATGCGCCTCGTCTCTGAGTGACTTCCCCTCAGTCAGGTGTCTAGACATCTGACATGCTGGGATTTATTCAGAGACAAAACCACTCTAACGTGGCTTCAGTACAGGCCACCATGAACCTGGCAGAGCTTTCACAAAGACATTAGTAGTGCTGAGGAGAGGCCCAGTGGGTGAGACGGAGGGAAAGGAGGAACAGCAGCTGTTCTGACTCGCTGTTTTCACACCCATTATGCTAATGCACCACGTTGGCATCTGCATCAGCCAGGAGATGGACACGTGTCCTTGAAGCAATGAACCATCGGGGCAGACACGGGGCCGAGGAACAGATTTACTCGCTTTCCATCCCGCTGTTAAACAGCTACACACATTACTATAACACATGATAGTTCAAAATAAAACTGTTTTCCCATGGAGCACCTTTTAAAAGATGAATCAAGAGAATTTATGATATAAAAGCCGATGAATAAAAAAATGGCAACAAATAGATAAACGTGATCTCCGTGCACCAGCGATCGCATATCTGCGTCCTATATTCGCATCTTCACGTCAACAAAGAAAGAACGTTTTAAATAAAAGTTTCATTTTACCACGACGCAGCTTGAGATACCGAAGATTAAAGTCAGAAAAACAAATTCAGTACAAAAAAAAAGAAAGAAAGAAAAAAACTAAAAATAAATAATGTTAACATTTAAATGTAATTTCTGTAAAACCTCCTGTTTCGGCTTGTTGTTAAAATACAAAATTCATTTTTAGTTTTTATTTATTTGTTATATTTTTTGAACTGTGAAACGAAAAAGCTCTAAGAAAACCTCGGTCTCAATCGTTAATTTTTTTTTTTTCTTACTTTATTTAATTTTTTAGAAAATAAATGTCATGACCATGGCTCGCCAACAGCTGCTTATTACAGAGAAGAAGAATTCATTATATATTCAGTTCTATTGTTTATAATGTGTGTGTGTGTGTGTGTGTACACACTCATGTGAAAAAATTAGGACACCCCATTAAATAGTCAGTTCTTTATTAAGAGATGTCAACATGTCAATTTCTGATCTTGTTTTCATTTGTACCTGTAGATGAAAGTGATGTAGTTGCATGTAAACAACAACAAAGTTAGAGAAAGTTAGGACACCCT